GAAAAAAGACTGATGTGAGGTTACAAGATATGGCTTTGGAGATACGACCCAGATTTGTAAGCGATATTAAAATTGATGCAGAAGCACTAGTTCTCCCATCGCTAGCATCAGCCCATCCTGATAGATCGTTCCGCTATGATGTGGATAAATGGAGAAATGTTAACCTGGCAGATCCAAATTTCAACAGAACGGAAAAAAATAGACTTAGTCATTGGAGCCGACCTCTACTCACAGATATTAGAAGAAGGAGTTCGTCATGATGATCAAATTGTGGGTCAAAATACAAAGAGGGGTTGGATTTTGTCGGGAACAATTGTAATGAAACCTGCAGCAACAACAACGAAGTCTGCAGCAACAACAACAATTGAACGATTTTGGGAGATTGAAGAAATAGAAGACGAAGAAACCAGCCTAGAAGACGAATACTGCCTTAAGCTTTATGAAGACACAACACGCATAGATAATTCAGGCAGATTCGTCGTTCGCTTGCCGTTTGCAGAAGACAAGGAGTTAGGAAAATCTTATAAAAGAGCTATGGCAAGGTTTTTAAGCCTGGAGAAAAGGCTTGAAGAGAGTACTTATCTGAGAGAGGAATATAATAAAACAATGAGCGAACTCATATCGATGAAACACATGGTAAAAGTGGAAGAACAGAAAGAAGCAAAGTACTATATGCCGCACCAAGCAGTTGTAAGAGAAACGAGCCTTACCACAAAAGTAAGGGTTGTGGTTGATGCTTCGTCGAAAACGTCAAACGGAAAGGCACTGAATGACATACTTCACGTTGGACCAAAGATGCAAAGGGATATTTTCGATATAATTACCAAGTGGCGATCGTGGAAGTTTGTGATCTCGGCCGATGTGGAGAAAATGTTTAGACAGATAAACATTGCAGAAGAAGATCAGAATTACCAGTATATCCTTTGGAGAAGTTGCAGATCAGATCCGATTCAACCGTACAAGCTGACCACGGTTACGTATGGAACCGCTTCAGCACCATTCTTAGCAGTACGAACGCTGATTGAAATTGGAAAAAGGTGTAAAGATCCAGAAATTGCTAAGAGAATTAAAGAAGACTTTTATATGGATGACCTTCTAACAGGAGCAAATTCGAAAACGGAATGTATGAATGTGCAAAGAAAAATATCGCATCAACTGGAAATGTACGGATTCCATTTAAGAAAATGGATTGCAAACTCACCAGAGGTGTTGAGAGCAGTTAATTGGTCGGAAGATAATGAAGTGCTGCATATTCAAGAGGATGAATGTTTAAAAACGCTTGGGCTGCAATGGAATCCAACCACTGACAGTTTTACGTTCAACATGCAGATAAGCGACGAAGACAAAGTAACAAAACGATTGGCGTTGTCAAACCTGGCAAAATTTTTCGATCCGATGGGCTGGTTAACCCCTATAACGGTAACAGCAAAGCTTTTTATACAACATCTATGGAAACAGCAGTTAGATTGGGATCTTCCTTTAGAAGAAAATTTAAAAGCGGTGTGGAATCAATTTATGAGCAGTCTCAAGAATATTAGAATACCAAGATGGTTTGAAATTTCAGCAGCTAGCACAGTACAACTACACGGATTTGCAGATGCGTCCGAAAAAGCTTATGCAGCCGTTGTGTACCTCAAGGTGGATGCAAAGATAACGATGGTGGCTGCGAAAACCAAAGTAAATCCAATGAAAAATAAGAAGACACTTCCAAAACTGGAACTATGCGCAGCGCATCTCTTGGCAAAACTGTTGCAAAAAATTAGAGGAGTTTTGACAACAACTGCAGTAACCTTTGCCTGGAGTGACTCCATGATAACATTAGCATGGATAAACAACGCAAAAAACAAAAACAAATTCATTAAGAATAGAGTAGTTGATATTTTGGAGCGAATTCCCGAAGCGAAGTGGGGATACGTGAAATCCAAAGAAAACCCAGCAGATTTGGGTTCAAGAGGGATTGCAAACGAAGCATTAATTTACAATGAATTATGGTGGAAGGGACCTGAATGGATAACGAAAGACGAGCAAAATTGGCCAAAATTGGAGCAAAGGCAAGTGATTGTAGCGGCCACAGAATTAACGTCTGTAGAAAAAGACGTCTATGAGAAAATTATGACATATTCATCATTTTTGAAACAAAAGCGAGTAATGGCTTATATTCTTCGCTTCATTAAAAGGCTAAATAGAAGTCGAGCAAAAACCGAGCACTTAACAGCAGAAGAGCTGGAAGAAGCCGAAATTGAAATTATAAAACGACATCAGGAATACGAGTGGCCTGCGGAAATAAAACAATTGAAGAAGGCTGGAGTGGTGGATCATCGTAGCAAAATAGCTTCATTACACCCACAACTAGATCAGTCTGGGGTAATGAGAGTAGGAGAACATCATACGGCACACGCATTTAGAAACCTTACATGGCGGAAATCGTTTAATGGAGAGCGTAATAAGAAGAAAATATTTGATCATAGGAGCTAAGAATAAAATTAAGCTCTGCGTGAGATGTTGTCCTAGGTGTACACGCTACAGAGGAGAAGTCAGAAATCAATTAATGGGAAATTTGCCAGCATGCCGAGTAAACATCAGTCAACCCTTTCAGCTTTGCGGCATTGATTATGCTGGACCTTTACATATTCGATGTTCAAAGACAAGGGGAACGAAATCCATGAAAGGCTACGTTGCGGTTTTTGTTTGCATGGTGACAAAGGCTGTACATCTGGAAGCAGTGAGTGAGCTGACTACAGAAGCTTTTATGGCGGCTCTTAGACGGTTTTTTTGCGAGAAGAGGCAAAGCGAGCGATATCTATTCCGATAATGGAACAAACTTCGTGGGTGCAGCAAGGCAGCTGGAGAAAGACTACGTAGAGGCGATTAAACATAACGTAAAGTTGGCGCCAATTTTGGAGAATCAAAAAATAAAGTGGCATTTTATCCCGCCGGCAGCTCCTCACATTGGAGGAATATGGGAAGCCGCTGTAAAATCCATGAAGTACCATCTGAAACGTATAATGAGAGATACGAAGATCACATATGAGGAGCTCAGCACGGTACTAGCCCAGATTGAGTCTGTTTTGAATTCGAGGCCATTACATGAGCTTGGCAGTGGTGCGGATTATATAGACACGTTGACACCAGGCCATTTCCTTATTGGGCGCCCTTTATTAGAGGCACCAGCAAGGATAGAAGAAGGAAGCCTAGTATGCGCAAATAGGTGGAAACTGCTGCAAAGGATAAAAGACCATTTTTGGAGAAAATGGAAGGAGGAATATTTAACTACGCTACAGGCCCGTATGAAGTGGAAAAGGCGAGATAAAAATATAGAAATGGGTCAAGTGGTAATACTTAAAAACGAAGAGACCCAACCGGCGCATTGGCCTCTGGCGAGAGTGACTGAAGTCCATCCGGGAAAAGATGGAGTAGTAAGAGTGGTGACCCTTAAAACGCAATATGGTGTGTTGAAGAGGCCGGTCAATAAGTTGTGTCCTTTGGAGCATCAAGATGAAGAAGAAGAGGTAAAGCATATGGATAACACACAGGCGGAAACAGCATATATGAATATGACAAGATGTAGGCTAAGAGTAAAGGAGCAACCATCAATGATTTGGACAATCATGTTAAGCCTATTCATGGTAATGGCTACCAAAGCATCATCAGTGCATGAGTTAAACAGCTCAGCCGCAATATATTTGAATCCCATGTCCCAAATTCATATGGTCTCGTCATCTTGGAACATGCTGATATACTTTGAGCTTAAACCATATTTGGAAACATTAGAACTAGCGTCATGCTTACTAAAGAAATCGCAAGAAGTATGCCCGAGACTGCAGATGTTCGAGGATCAGTGTTGGTCCACGATAAACAATATGGAGTATGCTATTAATAAGATAAAGACGAACAATGGACTATTTATGAGAAATGACAAGCGCCAGAAAAGAGGAACTCCATTAAAATTTGTGGGTTCGTTCCAACACTGGGCGTTTGGTGTGATGGACGATGATGACCGAGTAGCAATGGAGAATAACATGGAGAATTTATTAGCCAACCAAAAGGATTTAAAGGAACTGGCAAAGAAGCAGACGTCCATAGTTGATGCCACTGTCAATATCCTTAAAAGAACAACCGAGGAAGTGAATTCACATTTCTCAAAGATAAAAAAGAAGATTGAGAATATAACCGCCACCATGAATGAGAACTACTTCGTATACAGGGAGTCGATAAGATTCTTTATACAGTATTTTTTGCTTACCTGAACAATCAAAAATTGCACGACATCTTGTGCAGCAATGCCCAAAATGCAGGTAGCTTCATTGCATTTATCTGCACAATGAAGCAGGTATCTTTAATTTTACTTACGTGCACAAAAAGTGCAGTTATCTTTAATTTTCTATTCGTGCACAACAAAGCAGCAGCAGCATAACCATCTTTTAGTGTGGGAGAGGAAGCGAGAATATGTTTTTAATGCATGATGTTTTCTTGTGTTGTTATTGTTTTTGCGAATGCAAAAACAAAAACGAAGTGGTAGTTTTTAGTGTCTTTTTTGAGTTTGCAAAAAATTTTCTTGTGGAGATAAATACAACTTTTGTAACCAAATTAAAAAAAAAAATACCAAATTTTCAAGGCAGGAATGTCCAATGTGCAGCTATCGATTGGGCATTTAAATACAATTCAAATAAAGGGATTCAGAAAAAATGGCATAAAAAAAGTTTTTTGGTCTGCAAAGGCCAATGCGCAGCTAATGTTGATGCAGGTAAATAGAAACCACTGTAATAGCCAAACAGATTCATGAGCTTGTGGAGGAATGTGAAGAAGTCCAAAGGGAAGTTATAGATGCTTTGATTGACGTGAACAGCGGTAAATACCTCCCCATTCTCATAACTCCTAAGCAGTTGCAGGAAGAGATAGTAAAGATTCGGGATGCTCTGCCCGAAAAATATGTACTTCCTGGTAAACACACAGGAATGGAATTAAAAGAAGTGCTATATTTGATGACGGGTCATGGAACATTTGTGGGGTCGCAGCTGGTAATAGATATAAAAATACCACTATTCAATCGACAATCATCCCAGTTCTACAGGGTTATTCCCATACCGTTTCAAGAGGGTGGTACGGTGATGATAGCTCGGGTTAAAGCACCATACATTGTTTCCATTTCTTGACACAGGCTATGCTGAACGAGTGCAAAGAAACTCTGGGTAAAGAAATCATGTGTGAAGGCAATTTTCCTTGGAGAGATGCGTCAACGAATCAATGCGAATTGGCGCCCTTTAGACCTCACATAGATATAAACTGCGTTTACGATGAAACTGAACGAATGCCTTATTGGATGCCACTACAAATGCAAGGAAATTGGTTGTTCAAGACGTTCTCAAATAACACTGCACATCTGAAATGTTCCCATAAGAAACAAACGATAATGGAACTTCCGCAGCAAGGGATTTTCTCGTTGGAGGCGGATTGTACAGCGAGAATCGGTCAAGTGACGTTGGTAGCTGCTCATAGAGTACGGAATGAGGTAACAGCACAATTTCATTCCTTTCTTTTGAAGGACGTAAGCGAGGCTGATAAGGAAACTATCAAACCTATCGGAGATCTACTGATTAATCATGATAAAGCAATCAATCAATTGAAGGAGTGTGTGGACAAATTAAGAAACGAAAACGTGGAGTTAGGAGAACTGAATTTCCACCACATGTCGGGGCATACATCGTTAATTTTAGTATCTATAGTTATAGTAATACTTATAATTTTATTAATAAGAAAAATAATGATAATCAGAAGAATAGCTGCAATACAATTCCCACGGCCTGTAAATGTTTAACATGCATTTTGCCGCCCGGGAGAATGTTCAGAGAACATAGATAAAAGGTTAAGAAACATTCTCTTGTAATCGTTTGACTTAATTTTTGAACAGTCTAAAAATAATAATATTAGAAAAAGAAACCATATGTAAGCAATTCAGCGGCCTTGTAGCTCTGCGGCAGCGCAGATGGTAATCTATTTTTAACGATTAGAAATTCCAAGCGGCCATAAAATCTATTTGTGTGCACTGATAATAAAGGATCAATAAAGTCCACACATACAGATAGATATGCGCTCAGTAGGTATCATGCACTTAAGTGTTGGGACACAAGATCCCTCCTAGCGTGCCCTTAGAATAGATAAGAAAGATTGTGTGTCTGCGATTAGGTTAAGTCAGAATAGTTTAGGTAGCACTTAAGTAAGAATTATTCTTTAATAAAATCAGATTTGAAAATACATTATAACCGGCCGGTTGTGTGTTTTTATTTCTCCGCGAACAAACGATATTCAGGGAAATATATCAAATACAGCTCAGAAATATGTTTCCCAAATTTTATCGAGATCGGTTGAGATTTGGATATAGCTCCCATATATATCTTTATCTGATTTCAAATTAATTTTGCACCAAATGGGCAATACAAGTACGAATTTAAAAGATACAGATGCTTCGGCATATTTAGTACTTTGAATTTTAAATTATAACTAGCTGGCCCGGTCCGCGTTGCCGGCCCGTACTTTTAGTCTTTAAAGCATAATAAATCACAGATCTGACTTATGCAGGCGGCACAAATTTGATTATAAATAATGACTCCATTATAATGACTCCAATTTTGATTATAAGTAATGACTTCATTATGAGTAATGACTCCATGACTAAATATAAATAAATATTCATGGCAAAAATTATAATTACCGTCGGTTTTAGATATTTTGAATAGCCTGATCTTATTTATCAGCTATAGGCTTTAATTTGAGTGTTAAATACCTATATGATAAAGAACATCTATAATAGCCTTATGTAAAAATTCAGCTCAATTTTTGGTATTGTAGGAAGCATTCATATGAGCTATAATTTGAATTTTGTATTTCCAAAGTTTAAAATCCCGTACTGCGTGGTATTTAGTTTTGTCCACCTCATACTTGAAGGCAGAATGCTGTCAGAATAGCCAAAAAAAATTACTCTTCTGTTCCGATTACCGTAAGATGGGCATTAATTATTTGTCATTTAAAATGTGCGGTGGAGATCCAATAAAGTTACTTTATAATTTCGTATTTTTTTCATGTTTCTGCCACAATTTCCGACTGAATGAGTCCCACACTGTTTGGAAAGTGGAAATAAATGCCTATGTGGATAATTATCTGTAAGCTGAATTTCTAGCCCAGGGTTTTTTACCCCAGGTAGCCTCAAGACTAAGATGCGTCCTTTTCCGAAAAATAAAAATTTTATAAGAAGAGGCTTTTCTTCCCCCTTAGAATCAAAAATGTCAAATAAGAGCCAAAAAATTAAAAAAAGTGGCCAAGACCCCGAAAATACCCTAAATCATATAAATCATATGATAATGATACCAAAACGTGATCATATTTTGAAAAGATGGTTTCTTCTTAAATTATCAACATAAGCTAAAATTAGTACGAAAAATATGGTTAAAATGTAGAATATACTTGAAATCGGGTTGTTCCGTTATCGGGGGTTATGACCCATATCATGACCTGCCAAAGCGATTAAAGGTATCTTGAATGTTTAGGAAGAATTTGTGTTTTGCGTCCTTTATAGTCGGTATTTGACTGATTGCAGTCCCAATGTATTTTGCATTTTGTGTTCTCAATTGTCAATTTATTGTCATATGAAAGAAGCAGGTCCACTTTTTGAAATGTACCCCATAACGCTTTTTCGGTCATTTTTGTTTGTTTAAATGTGTTCGCATCTTCCAGCTGAAGCACGATGTAGGTCCTTGAGTGGAAAGCATTTAACATCGTATTGCGCCCTCATTTCATTATTAATATTATTCATTCAGAATTCAAAACAATAAAAAAATGTACACTTCAATATAGATTTTTTTGGGGAAAATTTCTAAAGTTCCTTACGAAGTTTGTCGGTAGAATGTACTATTATTTTGAAATTCGATTCCATTGAAAAATTGTCGATTTTTCCCGATTTTAGAATTTTCATATAAAGCGACAACGGATAAAACTGTTATTTATAGATGTTATGTATTTATTGGGTAATACGAATAAATACATAACATCTTTAAATAACAGTTTTATCCGTTGTGGCTTTTACTACCCAAAAAAAACCTACACATCATATTAGAATACAAAAAAAAAAAAAAAAAACCAGTAAGGAAAGCTCAAAAGTCGGGCGGGGCCGGCTATATGATACCCTACACCACTATGCATATTTAGTAGAGTTCTCGTTAAATGGTTTATACAGGGCATTTCAGAGCTCTATGAGATATTTGGTACAAAATCAAAATCTATCGTGCATTTTACGAACTATAGCTATCTTTGAACCGGGTTTCTCCAAATTTGACGTATTAGCTTCTAGACTGAATTCGGTCTAATGTACGAAAATTCAGGTGATTTGGGCTGATATTGGCCATTTGTTGCACAATTAACACGAAATCGGATGAAGACACATATGGGTGCTATATCCAAATCTGAACAGATTTTGATAAAATTAAAATCCTCTATTTTTGGGCCTTATCTGATATCTGGTACCAAATATCATTCCTGTGAAGAGTATATTACGAATGTAAGGGATGAAACATATATATGGGAGCTAGAGCTATATCTGAACCGATTTTTACTAAAGTTTGTGTACTTGCTTATAGGCTGGTTTCGGTCGGATTTGCCAAAATTCATGCCATTTGGGTTGATATTGGCCATTCGATGCACAATTAACACGAAATCGGATGAAGATATATATGGGAGGCATATCCAAATCGGAACAGATTTTAATAAAATTAAAATCAACTATTTTTGGGCTTTATCTGATATCTGGTACCAAATATCATTCCTGTGGAGTGCATATTACGAATGTGAGGGACTTAAAGACGAAATCGGATGAAAGATATATAAGGGAGCTATAGCTATATCTGAACCGATTTTTTCTAAAATTGGTGTACTTGCTTCTAAGCTGGTTTCGGTCGGATTTGCCAAATTGATGATATTACGGTCATTTGGTGGTCAATCACCTGAAATCGGATGAAGATATATATGGGAGCTATATCTAAATTTGATCCGATTCTCACCAATTTCAATAGGGTTCGTCCTTGGGCCAAAAAAATATTGTTTGGAAAGTTTCATCTCAATCGGATAATAAATGCGACCTGCATTTTGTTCACAAGAATACATGGACAGACGGACGGACGGACGGACAGACGGACTGACATGCATAAATCGACTCAGAAAGTGATTCTATGAAGGTTCTCAAAAGTAACTATGGGTCTATCTCGTTTCCTTCTCCATGTTACAAACAAATGCACAAAGACATAATACCCTTACCACTATGTGGTGTAGGGTATAAATACTACAAATGTACATTCGAAAATAGTAAGTCAAATAGAAAAAAATATGCAATATAAAACATTACTATTGTACATTTTAAAAGTCAAAATGAAAATGTTCAAATTTCACATTTTTATGCGATTTTTTTGGATTTTATTCTATTCTGCCAAGAGGCAATTCCGAATTTGTCTGAATCGTTAAAATCAGACCGGCGGTCTGTATTTTATAAGAGTAGTAACTAACACAACTTTCTTTTACATATAGAGATAGATTTAAAAGTCGGCGCGTTCCTCAGACCCTAAATAAGTACTTAGGGTTGGATAGAAAGTCAACAGCATCTCGTGTAATAATTCTCAAACCGATATCTTCATTATTTTGGCAAATATAAGGATTTTAGATAAATCGAAATAGTGGGCGTAAAAGTAGTCGTGGTCAATATTTTTTTCTTTAAAAACCTAACTCGGGGTCGTCATGCTAATTTGTACAAAAAATTATTCAAATCGGTCCACCCGTTCTCAACTGATTCCATTACCATCGAACAACAATTGATTTTTATATATATACTAGCTGAACCCGGTGCGCTTCGCTACCCCTTTTGATTTTATATGCATTCAAAATTTTATTTACGAATATATGTTGGATAAAGAAAAACAAATTTAAAAATTAAAAAAAAAAAAAAATATTGCACTAATTTAATGCGCTAATAAACAAAATCATTACAAAAGCAGTAACATGACATGCATACACGAAGGGTTTGTCCTTTGGATTTATTTATTTCATAGCAAATACCAAGAGTGCAGGAAACTGCAATTTTTTTAAGTAGAGTGGCATTTCTATTGCAATTAGTGAATTCGAGATAGCAACATACTTCGCCGTAATAAGCGTATTTCAAATAAATTGTTGTGTTGTTTTTTAGTGTTAGCCTAAGGCGTTGTGGGTCAATGGTTCTTATTAAAATCATATCCCAATCTGATCCGATTTAAATATAATTTAAAAAAAATTACTTTTACACCAAACTCCGCCACACCTTTCATATTTTATTGAAATTGGTGCGTCAAATATGTGAAATCGGCCGAGAATATATATATGGGAGTTATAATCACATCTGAGCGTATTTGAATATAATTTATCAAATTTATTTTTGTACCAAATTTAGCCACTCATGCCGAATTTCGTTGGAATCGGAAATACGTATCGTGTTTTGTGCATGAAATATGTGAAATCGGCGGAAAATATATATGGGAGCTATATCCAAATCTGAACCGATTTTAATATAATTTGACTAATTTATTTTCTAATCAAAATCCCGTTACATATTCCAAATTTCGTTGTTGCAAAATGGTCAGGCTTATCCCTTTATTGTTGTTTTTATAAAAACAACGTTTGTTTATTAGTGGAGAACGATGGTAATGTTTACCAGGGGGTAAGGCAGGGAATACCTAGGTTTCGGAAAGAGCCACCAATCCTCATCAGTTCCCTTGTTTTTGTCTGGGATATTCTCCCCAGAAGTTATTTTAAAAATAACTTCTATGACAAAAAACATTTTTTTAACCAAGTGACGAGATCGTAAGCTCAATAGAAGAGGAACCAAAGAATTATATAAAACTAAAATTCTTTTGGAAAGTCTTCTAAATCTTACAACCGCACTTATAAACATTTTCATCTTTCTCCACTTGTTATGCTTTCGTTCAACCTGAACGAAGTAGCATAACCATGTAAGTTGGTTTTGTCTGTTACAACAAAAACCCCTTCGTCGACCGTGCCTTGTCTATAAATAGAACAGTGTGGCTTGTTTGTTCGGGATACCGTAGTATTTTGTTGTTGCAAAATGGTCAGGCTTATCCCTTTATTGTTGTTTTTATAAAAACAACGTTTGTTTATTAGTGGAGAACGATGGTAATGTTTACCAGGGGGTAAGGCAGGGAATACCTAGGTTTCGGAAAGAGCCA